CTCAAGCAAATGGCCAGGCAGAAGTTACAAACAGAGCCATCATCCGTGGACTGAAAGCACGACTGGACCGAGCTAAAGGATTATGGGCAGATGAACTACCCAGTGTTCTATGGGCCTACCGGACCACGGAGAAGACCGCCACGGGAGAAATTCCCTTCAATCTCACATACAACACCGAAGCGGTGATCCCCGCAGAGATCGAAGTACCTACGCTACAATTAGAAGCATACAGTGATCAGACAAATGAAGATGAGCTACGTACCAACCTCGATCTACTCGACGAAGTAAGGAACCTCGCGTACATCAGGACTGCAGCCTACTAGCAAAGTGTAGCCCGGTACTATAACGCCAGGGTCAGGAGGCGGAACCTCCACGTTGGCGACCTGGTCCTTCGTAAAGTTATGGTACCTGAGCCCGGCGCTGGCAAGCTCGGGTCCAACTGGGAAGGTCCCTACCAAGTGGAGTGCTCGGGGAAGGAACTTACGAGCTCGAGACCCTTGAAGGGAAACAAGTACCTCGGGCATGGAATATTGTCAACCTAAGACAATACTATCTGTAAGAATCGAATAGGCTACGAGCCACTCCCAAAGCCTAAGGGCCAAAATACCGAGCTAATATGACCTCAGCACAACAGGATCCAGTCGCCTCTATGGGCATGGGCAGACTCTGAGAGCGGGCCACGAGCCACTCCTCCAGCCTAAGGGCTGAAATGCCGAGCTAATTAAGGAACCTCGGCAGCATACAAAGCTAAGTTGCCCCATCAGCACGAACTAAGTACCTGCCGTGCCTGAGGTGCATGCGGCTCGGGCACGAACCTTACGACAAATAGCCTGCCCTGGCATGCGAAGAGTTAAACCCGTAAGGACAACTGACAGCAAACTACCTCGGGTGCAGACAGGTCAGGCATGAGCCCTACTATGCCCCTCACCCGGTAATACACAAGGCTACCCCTACTAAATAGTTCGGGGCCGCGATGGCCGTTAAGGAACTCCAACCTCAGAAGTTCAATTCGATAAATTAATAGCTTGGGGTGAATGACCACTCCGACAAGATAGAATGCACTCTTGGCAAAAAGAAAGAAAAAATATCTTCATTACGGGAAGTTTGGTACACAAATTTCATTAAGAACGTCTTGATTACAAGGGAGATTAAGTTTACAAATACAGGGAGAAAACTACTTCGGAAGCTCGTTGCCCCTGTTAGGGACCTCCTCGGGGGCAGTAACTGGGCCAGCATCCTCTGCTTCATCCTCGGCACCCTCGTCTTCAGAATCTGGATCATCTTTTGACTGACACATCGTGCGTTAGTGATCCGTGAAGTGGTGATGGCGGTCGTATACAGGTCGGGGTAGAGGTGCCAAATCAGCCACCGACTAAGCTTGAAGCCCTTATGGTAGGCCTCCGTCATCACGTCGTCAAACCTTGAAGAGTTGACATAGTCAATGATGGCCTGAGTCTTGGCCTCCTTGAGAGCACCCTCGAAGATTGCAGTCTTCTCTCTTATGTCTTCCTAGAGGTACCCCACTTCATGCTCCAGCTTCCCCTTTGCCTCCTTAAGGCCTTGCACCTCGAGCTTCAAGGCATCCTGCTCAGCCTTGAGGCTGTTCACCTCAAGCCCTAAGGCCTCCTGACCGACCTTGAGGCCATTCACCTCGACCCTCAGCTTGTCTTTGTCTCGGGCCAGCTCCCCCTTTTCTTCCATTAACACCTCGATGAAGCTCTTTTGAGCCAAGGCGTCACTCTCCAGGTGGTGGACCTAACAGCGAGCTGCCCTCAACTCAGTATGGGTTGCACGAGACGACTTCTCAGCCTCTAGAGCCTGCCTCAGGTGCCGATCTAATTGAAGGGTCAAGGCGCGAATGATGGTGTTCACCTGTAAAAGGGAAACCGGTCAAGAAGGAAATCAAAAAAAAAAAAAAGAAGAGAAA